CTAAGTAGGAAAAGTAATCCAACAGTACTAGTTCCTCGCCATTTAGTTTCAGAGCGGGAGTAAGCGACACCCAGTCCTGCAGCGTCACTTTAAAAATTGAAGGTGCAAACGGCATACCGAATGTGGAAACCGCACTTATTAGTCTATCAAGTGTGCTATGCGTGTCCATACATTTGAACAGACAGACGACGTCATCGGCCTACTCTACATCGCACAGCTTTTCTCTAGCTGCCCATTGAATACTTATATTTTGGAGACCAAGTGCGTCCTCCAATATTCCGTCTACGACGAAATTGAAAAGGAACGGCGAGAGAGGGCACCCTTCACGAATGCCGCTGGTGCTGACGAAGCATAAACCCTTACACGGCCAGCGGTATGTGATTACAGCGACCTCAATAAGTTAACGTACTCCTGGGGCATTTGTTTTTGAAGAAGGGAACCCATTAGAGGTTCCCGGTTAACTTTGTTAAAGGCTCCTTTCAGGTCAAGGAACACCGCAATCGTTGGTCTACGGTGGGTGTGACGCAGATCAAGGACCTGGAGCAACGTAAAAATTTGATCAATACATCCACGGCCAGGCCGAAATCTGGCTCGCTGTTCACGGATGTTGACGTCTTTTAAAGGCGTCAGACGTCGAAGCACGACCGAAGCCTAGCAATTTAGTGACGACCGGGATCAAACCGATCCCGCGGTGGTTTTTTCAATCGTTGCGGGATCTTTTCTTGAAAATAGGAACGATCAGTAATTCGCCCCAAGATGAAGGAATGCGCTCTTGCGTCCAAATGTTGTGCAGTAAGGTGGTAATGCAGCTTATGAGGTTATCACCGCCCATCTAGAAAACAGTGGGAGGGAGCTCATTCAGTCCTGCTGACTTTCTCCGCTTCAGAGATTGAATGCAAGACCGAACTTCTGCTTCTGCCGGAGGATTGCACAGCACTGCCCAAGGAACTTTAGTTGCGAATGGGGCAACCCGGTTAGCACTAGGCCAGCTGAACTGCTCACTGCTCCATCAGGGCTACTGACTCCTGAGATACCCGGTGTCTCCGACGGGCTTGAGGCTCAGACCCACTAGCAACATTCGCTGCGGAATGCATTGCTCACCTAATCTGATCCCACTGATCATCTACATTATCATGTTAGGGCGTGCTTAGCTCACGCACTCATAGTGTGTACGAACGGCTGGAACAGATAGTCGATGATGAGCTTTACGAGTTTGCTGGTTTTGTCGCCGACCAGTCAGTCAGAGAGTGAATTGCATCAAACTAATGCGTGATCAGATCAGGTGGTCCAATACGAACTGCAACTTAGCAGTGAGCCACACGAACGGTAACTTACTGCTATGTGGTCGATTTGAGTTAGCGTACCAGTTGAACTGGAGCGCCATGTTGCCGTCCGTCGAGAGCTGTGTTGGAAGTTGGTTCTAGATAGGAACGGATGATCTGCGCAGAACTGAAGGAGTCGATCACCGTTATCTGGTCGATGGCAGAGCAGAGCACAACTTCCGCCTAGACAAGCTTCCAATGAGCTTAGTTTTCCAACCCGCGCGTTGAAGTCACCAGCAAGTACAACTATGTCGGAGATTCGACTCATCTGAATGAGATCGGTAAGTTCATCGTATAAAGTGTCCTTATGGGCATCAGAACTAAAACTGGTCGGTGCGTATGCCGATACGATGAACAAAAACCTTTTGGTGTTGCTTCCCTTCCGGACGCTGACTGAGCCCTAGAGACGCACTGCACATAAACGACTGTTGACGAGGATCCAATCGATAAGAGGACTCCGCCCTGTTACTGACTTAATGAACGAGCTTCATCGTCACATGATGTGCGAAGAACGTATCTCGACGACAAATCTGGCGCGCTCAAGTGGCTTCTAGGAATAGGATCCTGGATTCTTCGGGCACGCAGTAAATATCCATAAATAAGGATTCCATTGTACGCGCCAGACAAGCTCGTTGACCGACCTGCATCGAAGTATTCACGTTGNCTGCTATTTGGCAACAAGCTATGGCGAGCGACATCCCAGTTGCTTGAGGGACTATTACAGGTTGGAAGGAGGGGCAAATGGAGAGGGCTGGATACTGAAGACCAAGAAATAAACAAATTTTAGGATATCTGAGCAGTAGCCCACTTATCACTGCCCACCCCGCTCGATGCAATGGGCAGCGCGGTCTTGATTAGCCTGCGCGACGACTGGTGCAGTATGGAATTATTTTTTGTTTGTGTAGGCATTGGGTTTGATGGACGGGTATTGCTCGGGTGTCTAGCCACTAAGCAGGAGAACGATTGGGGTTCTCGCCCAAAGCTTTTAGTTCTAACAGGAACCTAACCGTAAGGCAGCGGGTGAAGGCCTAATTACTTGGATCGATTACCTCTCCACCATTTTATACTGACTGAAACGCCAATTCTAGTCGAACACCCAACCCGGGGGACCAGGAGAATGGACTTCGTCCAACCTCTACCCACTGACCTTCCAGGCATAATTAGATCTTTGGCTTGACGAAAACCATCCTGCGTAGCTCGTTGGGTTAGAGAGGTGCACAAGGCATCACATCAAGTTAAGGTAGTCTCGTCGTGATGTAACAAACGAAAAAAATTGTTATTCCCCCGAGTTGATTGTTTTTCCCCGTTTCTGTATCTATTTTTCTTCTTAAACCATGGATATTTCGGCGCCACATCTGCAAACATTGGTATATATATATATAACCCCGTCCACTGCGGACCCTGAGCTCCGTCCTGTTGTCTTGCAGGTTTAGGTCCATCTCTGTGAAGCGGTTGGCGGTTTCCATGTAAGGTGGTGTAGTTTCTTATGCGAGAAGTCCGTGCTTGACAGAAACAGTCCGTGATCAGCGCAAATTTGGAGTATGCGTTCTTCGTCGTCAGTCCGGTTGGCTGGGATGACATGTGAACCACCAAGTAGCCTTTTTGATTCGTTCAGCGATCCAACTTGAGCATTGAAGTTTCCAGCGACTAACACGTCCGTTGAGCGAGCACTTTGGAGCAGTTGAGACAGGTTCTTGTAGAATTGATGCTTCACTTCTGGCGAACTGCAACCAGTCGGTACATACGCCGATACGACGGATAAGCATCGACGCTTCGTTCTGTAGCTGTTGATCCGTACCGAACACTCTAGACGTACAGCGCAAAGTCGGTTACTAACCGGGATTCAGTCGAGAAGTGAACGCTCGACCTTGTCGCTCAGCGCAACCTGAACACCAGCAACACCGCGAGCTTCGGATGACGAGTCGCCTGACATACGGAGAGTGAAACGTGAGGATGAGGTTGGATTTGGAGAACGGAGGGAGATGATTGAAGTAGACTCTTGTATGCGTGTTTCGGAGACACAGCATACATTCAAATGGAAGTCAGCTTATTGACCGACATGGTTGTATGCGGACATTAAATGCACTTAAGTGAAAAAGGGATTTTTATTGTAAAAATCTCATCGTATCATCACAGTACAGCGAAATACCGTGAAGCGTACTTCACTGATCGCTGCCAAGCTCAATGCATACAAGGTTAGTGGTAAAATTTAAGGTGGACAGGGGTTGGATCTATTTTGAGGAATGGAAGGGAGATGAGCCACTACGGTCAACACACTGAGTACGCAATCGAACTCTGCATACATACCTAATAAGAAACGACAACAAGAACGCCACTGCTGCCGGTTCGCTGCCATATCCTTCAGTGTCTCCAACCAACCAATTGTGGAGTCTTTCGGACCCAAACCTGGAAGGTGAGAGACACCTACTCTACCTAATGGCTCTGTGCATTTCTTCATGCCTCGCTTCCACGTCATCTGTTGACCTCCACGTGGTTTCCTCCAGCCCGGATTAGCTACAGCGAATAAAGCGCGGTGCGGTAGACGATGGCTGGGCATACGCAATACGTGCCCTAGTCTAAAAATCTGATAGCCTTCGAGCGGTTGACCTCATTAGTTGAACACAGGTCGCCAGCCCATGCACTGATGCAACTACGACTGTTCGACTACCTGCATGAGTATTAACAAAGTGTTCATTACTCAAAATTAGTGAAACTTAGGCATAGCTATCCGTGAACAAGAATGTGAGCGCCTGAGAATACCTGTAAACTGCTGCCCATACCATACTCATAGAGGCAAGATAGAAACGTAGCTGCAGAAGCAATATTAAGTTATTGATGTATGCATGCATTTCACACGTGTCTGAATCAAGACTGTACCAAAAAAATTACGGTACAATAATTATTGCGAAATAGAAAATAATCCATGATCTGCTCGAGGATACGATACCTACGCTAGATTGCCCAGACCAAAGCGAGTGAATTTTCTTAGGGAGCTCACAATCGGAGCCTTTGGCTAGCCAAAAAGCCTGGTCTGCAAGGCAGCGGGGTGGTGTGTGTGAAAACCGCAATCCAGCGAAGGCTGGTGTCCAGTTCATCGGACCATACGCCCACTGGATGGGGTCGAAAGTCCAAGTAACCCAATAGACCTCGATACCCGATCGAGCCAGTGGTTACTACCACGACCAGGAAGGTGTGCGGAAGTGGTTCGTATGCCTTTGTTGATTTGGAGTCATGGATTTTAGTGAACTGCCATTTACGTCGCAACGAAGTCCAAGCCGGACAGGACAAGGGAACTTGCGGCAAAATCAGATGGAGTCTAGTTTCTTGCACCAAGTGAGTTCGAAGTGCGTGACACGTTGCTTCGTCAACCGAGTAGAGGTTATGCTCTAAAAATCTAACACCTGTTACCATACGCGTAAAACATATTTGCGGAAAAGGCAGGCTACAGATGGTGATGATTAACGCTGGAGCTTGTTACATTGCCGGTTTGCAGAAAATATAGGTTACTGTGACTATGGAGTTAATTGATCCTACCGTTTAGCATTCAGTGATGTAATAAGAAACTTCAAACGTTACTCGAGGCGAACAAACTACCCCAGGAAACTGCGAATTCCAAGGAAACAAACGTGTTCATTCAATCGATATTCATCGTGAACTATTAACAAGTGGCCCGGTAAATCAAAGAGGACTTACCAAAGGCATGATCACAAACTGGCATCCCCAACCGATGGCTGGGCCGACTGGACGTTTGGCATAGGCTTTCATCACTGCAATATCAAGCTCACATCCCATTGTGAAGATGAATATGCTCACCAAGATGACCACAACGATGCGGAATATCAGCTGTACAACCCCCTGGGCACGAAGCACCAATAAGGGGAAGCCGACTGTTTCGGATTCGGGGAAGTCCGCGGATTTTAATTTTAATCCAGACAGATTCTTCAATAGTTCATGATTCGAGTTCGTTAGGGCCCATGATTGAATCTCATCTGTTGATCGAGCGACACCTTCATTAATCCAAAAACGGACATAAGACAGGCCAATCTGTTTTGCCGTTATATTCAGAGGTATAGTCACATTTTTGTCGACTCCAGGTGGGAGCCAGTACCACTTCACATCAGACAGATTCGCAGCATGGATTGAATCCAAGTCATAGGAGAGATGAATGGGAATTTTACTGGAATATATCACATGAGCAGGAAATTGTCGTGATCCGGAATTATCAAAAAATTTTAAATGTTCCTTCGCAATTTTTATCCGAACGACAGTGTTGTTGCTCGTGCTCGCACGGATCTGTTCAAAGTATGTCGCATTGTCGTCATCTCCAACAAGAGTGGATTCGAATTTCACACGAAGGTCTTTTACCCTGTCATGCGCTTCCAGACCGAAATCCACAGATCTGGTATTGTCAGGTGATGGAATGCTGTGTGAAGAGTAGGCAAAACATAGAAGCAATAACAGCCATCGTGTAGTCATCGATGTCATCTCACAGCGTCGCTAAGGCGCAGAAGGACGAGTTATTTGTCGGATAAATACTCTGCCAGTGCCGATGGCTGCCGTGCCGTGACAATCGCCGTCGCCCTGACCCGAAACGTGCGTCGTAAACGGCACGCGTTTCAGCCGGCCGTGTGTCCGTCTGTCTTATTGTGATCGAACAAGAGATAAACACAACGACCTCTAATCCTTGCGGTGATTCGCCAAAAGCTAGTCCTAAATCTCCATTGTGATTGGTCAGTTTAGCAACCAGTTCTTTTCACATTTGTAACGCATCTATGCATCAAGGCGGATGTTCTAAACAAATGGGGCAAGCGTGAACGTGCCCTCTGAGGGGCGTAGGTTGCAAAATCGAGACCAGCATGATGCGCGCGGTCTTGTTCGTCACACGTATGCCAAGAAAATTGACACCTGCCCAATCAGTCACAGCTGATGATATATCGTTAACATGACCGATCATTTTGTCTGAGAAAACGACTGGAGAGAGAGCGAATGATAAAGACCCGAAATTTGTCGTGAGGCAAATAGTAATCATAAAAAATATCGGTTGATGTTTGATATCAGCGCATTTTGATTGCGGGTTTTCGTCTGGTCATCCTCGCGTTCTTGTGGGCTAACCGAGGCGCATATTTCCGATCTAAATGGAAAACAATCCGGGCCATAAAATACTTCATTGAAATGGGCGTTCCTTGAACACAAAAGCCGTAGCGTAGCAGTGAGCATTGTTCACTGTAGATCGGGTTTTTATCCCTAATCTTGGTCACACCAAACAAAGTCGAAGACGGAAACAAACTTTGGCAGTTCATTTCTTGCCAAAAACCGAAATTTATGCTTCACCCGGACTGACGCCATTGTAGCACAACAGATCAGGGCTATGATCGATTTCTATGGTAAAGACAACTTCGAATCACATAGAGCAAAGGGGCTCGAGCACTGTAAATCCACAGTTATTTTCGGACCCCAGAATTGTAGTTCATCTTCATATGGTAGTCTTCATCTGTTCACTGCATCCTTTGGAATGTTAAATTTACGTTCGCGGTCAGTCAAATCAATGTATGACTCTACTTAAGAATACGACTGTGTCGCAGTCGAATTATTTTCGTCATATGCGATATATATATATATATATATATATATATA